GCGACTGTTCAGGTCGTTTCTGGGTCTGCCTGAGGATCAAATTTTCCAGTGTCCACAGTGTGTCGAAACTGCGTGCATCGAGTGTAGCTATACCAACTATGCGAAGTTGATTTTTCGACACGGCACCTTTAGGTATTGCCAGTCAATGGCAGCATTGGCCCGAGCAATGGAGACTTCTCTCTGCTCTCGTCCGGGTCAGCACAGACATTTGATTTTCCGCCCTTTGTACCCATTGCATCTGCCTGCTTTGCAACCTCCACTCCTGTAACGTTTGGCAGCGTTCAGACAAGTGAAATCCGGGAACCCTCCGGCCTGGCGGCCAGCCGGGTCAATCCAGGAGTTTACTGGGTCAGTGACAGCAGTTCGGCTACGAAGCTCTATGCCATCAAGCGGAATGGCGAGTACGTGGCCAGAGTCTCTCTCGGTTCTGTGCCTCCCTTGGCGGATATCGCCGCGGGCCCAGGCGGGGAGGCTACAGAGGGACAGCCCTAACCGACTTTTTAGGGTTTAGGGTTTAGGGTTTAGAGTTTAGGGATGTTTAGGGTTTATGCCCCGCCAAAAACAGATAGTAAGAATTAGTAAGAATGCAACTCACATAAACAATGAGGCGACTTTTCACTTGGCACGTTCCTTACGCCGTTTTCGGTTCTATTGGGAGTACCCTAGACCCTAAATCCAAAACCCTAAACCTTAAGCCAAAACCCAGAGGTTTTATCGTTGGGAGATTGGGTTCTCCCCCCCAAAAAGGCCCGGAGCCGGGCGCCCATTACCTCTACCTGGCCGACATTGAGGACAAATACCGAAACAGAGGTACTCTCACGCAGATCTACCGCATCAAGGTGTGGGGTTTTGGGAGCTTTCAGGTTGATTGGGCTGACGTGTTGAGGGACGCAGAGTATCGTGGTTTCGGGATAGCCCTAAACCCTAAACCCTGAACCCTACACCCTACACCCTAAAGCCTAGAGCTTTAAACCCGAAGCCTAAAGCCTAAAGCCTAAGCCCTAAACCCTGTGAAATTTAGTTTTGAGGGTCTGACTGCAGGAGCCGGTCATTCCAGAAGGGTGGGACCCGAACAACGACATTCAGGTTGGAAGCTTCGGGCCTCGGGAAGGGTTTCTTCTTTTGGCAAAAGCAGGTTGGGTTTGGGGTTTAGGGTTTAGGGTTTAGGGTTAGGGGTTTAGGTTTTGGGTTTTTGGGTTTAGGGTGGAAGCTTCGGGGGCTCTTGGTGGCATTTCTTGGTAGCCCAGTGGTACCCTTTTCCCTTTTCTTGGTTCAAGGTTCCCTGCTGTTATGGCTGGGCTACCAAGTTTTTCTTCTAGAAGATTTTTTGGAACTCTTCGGTTCGGTGGGGCGAAGCTCGGAGGTAGTTTGGGGGTTTAGGGTTTAGGGTTTGGGGTTTAGGGTTTAGGGTTTCACAGGGTTTTCTGCTTTGCTTGGGGACCCCGCAGTTGGGGAAACTCCTTCCCTCAGGTGAGCGGCGGAAATACCTTCATTGTCAGGTTCTCGGACCTACGACGCGACTCTGAGGCAATCTTTGTTGACCAGCGCAGCAGCGGCCGGGTGTACATGCTGACCAAAGGGGACGGTGGCAGGATGGGCCAGTATGAGGTAAATTGGCGCGGAGGTGAGCTCTTCTATGTGGACGTGCCTGAAATTGCCGATGCTTTGTTCTGGCAACCGACTCCCTTCAATGTGCATCTCACACCGTGGGTGACTGGCGCAGACATGACGCCTCAAGGAGATGCCATTATTGTCCGGAGCGATTCGCAAATCATGAGCTTTTCCGTTTTTAGAGATGGGCCCGTGGAAGATGCCATGGCGGAAGGGCCGTGCTACATCGAAAGTCCGCCCGAGAGAGAGGGAGCAGGCGTCGCCTTTGCGGCAGACGGCAGCAGCTACCTGACCGTGTCTCCGGGCGACTTCCCGCCTGTGTGGTGGTTTGCCATTCCGTCTGCCTCTACCTCTTCTCTCCTCCTCCAAGGCGGCGGGAGATCGTGGTTGGCAGCCGATGAGCGCATTCCACCTTCTCCTGGCTATGCATTGGCCGTGGAGCTGCTCAGCAATGAGACGCTGGACCTGACTTAATGTTGGACTGACTTTAGTATAAGCAGGGTCTATAATCACAAGTTTCGAAAATTTATCTTGCGAACCGAGTTTGTTCAGGGTACCCGCTATTATCACAAGTTTTCTCTGGGCGTTTTTTTTGTTTAAGGGTTTGTGTTTTGGGTTAAGGGCTTACGCAGTAAGGCTTGAGGCCCTGCGGGTCTTGGGCTCCAGGAATCTCAAAAAGCCAGAGCGCGGAGAATCCAGAGATCTAAGCCCGGCCAGTTCCATGTAAGCCTTATGGAAATTCATTGCGAAACGAGGCCCCAAACAAATTTTGTGATGGGTAGCCCACGGGCCGGTCAGGCTGTCTCTAGTAATTAAGTTTGTCTGGCTACCCTCTATAATACCAAGCTTGTGTTTAGGGTTAAGGGCTTACGCAGTAAGGCTTGAGGCCCTGAGGGCCTTGGGCTCCAGGAATGTTAGAGGTCCCAAAGGCTTGAGGACCTGAGGGCGGTCCCCCCCCCCAAATTTGTTTGGGGGGGTCACCGCGCCATGCGTTTATAGAGGGTCCAAATTTGTTTGGGAGGGGGGGGGGGGCCATTCTGAAGGCAGTGCAACATTACACTGACCATTAACCCCGCAACCACAAAGGGCTGCGTAATGGACAGTCGTTTGACAAATGCAAAGAATCCCACGCGACCGAGTATCCCTGGAGTGCCCACCCCCAGAGAGGCCCGCACAGAATCCCGCGAAGAAGCCCACAAAGAAGCTCGCAGAGTGGCCCGAGCCCGCCGAGAGATCCCGTGAGCGCTTTAAGAGAGAGACGCGCCGAGTAATTATCTTTGGAGTACCCACCTCCAGACAGAAGCCACAAGAGTGCCGCCAGTATCCCTGGAGTGCCAAATTCACAGAATTTTCTCGGTGAGTGACGGATCCGTAGTTACCTGTCCGAAGTCCAGATTGACTCCCACGCGGGGGGTTGCTGTAAGGGTGCAGATGGTCGAAGTAAATATTTTGAGCTTAAGCTATGTTTTGCTGTCCGCCTCAGGACAGGGCAGGAGAGCTTGAGAACATGGTACGCGGCCTTCCTCGGTGTCAACGAGAGCTTTGTTTCGGTGACGCTGCCAAGCACAGCGTCATTGTGGCAAGCAGGCGCCATCCGTCGCTCCATCCATCCCAGCCTACTGCAGACTCTGCAGGCCAACCAGTCTGACGGCAATCGGACCAACCAAACCTTTGTGGCTGTTGGCTTCGAGGTTCGAGCCGAAGGAACGGAGAGCTTCAATCCGGTTTCCTTCCAGCTCGAAGACCCCGGTGTGCAAGGGAAGTTGGTCCGTCAGATTGTTCCAGCTTTGGGCGAGTTTTTCCCAGGCCTTGGTGAGCTCATTGTGGGGCCAGCCTTCATCGGTTCGACCGGCAGTTCAGTACTGGCAAGCAACGCCAGCACCACCACCGCCGCCACCACAGCTGCCACCAGCACCATGCCGACCACCACCGCCGCAATGACCACCGCCGGCACCACCACCACCACCACCACCACCACCACCACCACCACCACCACCACCACCACCACCACCACCACCACCACCACCACCACCACCACCACCACCACCGCCACCACAGCCACCACAGCCACCACAGCCACCACAGCCACCACAGCCACCACAGCCACCACAGCCACCACAGCCACCACAGCCACCACAGCCACCACCACCACTACAGCCCCCACCACCACTACAGCACCCGCCACCACCACAGCCCCCGCCACCACCGCAGCCCCCACCACCACCACCGCCACTACCACACCCCTGTGTCCTAATCCGTCAGATCCATCAACCTGGATCAACGAGTTTCACTACCAGGATCAAGGTTTCGATTCCCGGCAAGGGGTCGAGATCGCCGGACCAGCCGGGTTGGACGTAACAGGAGTGTCAATTAGTCATAGTGGGGTAACATTTTGACTTTTCAAGGGTACTTAAAACTCAATGAGGATTAGAAATTTCACTTTAAATGCCTCTCCCAACCATGATCGAGGTCCATTGTCCTTTACGACGCCGTTGGGGGCGTCCAGTACAATGCCTTCACTTTCTCGGGGCCGCTGACAAACGCGTTTCAAGGCTACGGCTTCTTGGCAATTCAAAACATTGCCGACTTTCGGGAAGCCGGCGGTATAGCGCTGGTGGCGGCGGATGCCACTTCTGTCCTTCAGTTCCTCTGCTATGGGGGCGCGTTCACTGCAACGGATGGACCGGCAGCCAGCCAGACGTGTGTGGATGTTGGTGTGACCGAGCCTCCTGGCGGCTCTGAACAAAACTCATGCCAGCTGAGAGGCTCAGGAAAATGCTACTCAGACTTTGCCTGGCAATGTCAAATTCCTCAAACATGGGCTGCGAGAAACAATGCGCAGAACTTTCTGTGACCAAAGTCAGGAGGTGCACAAATGGCACCATCTCACGCTTCGACTTGTGAGAGATGTTGTGTACAGGCTTTGCAGGGGCCCGGCCATGAGAGGCCGAAACCCGAAACCCTAAACCCTGAACCCTAAACCTTATACCCTCTAAACCCTATATTCCTTGGGGCGATGTTCCCCTCCAGATTTTTCAAATGCACGCAATTCCGCCAAGTGCTGGCCAAGGAGTCAGCGGTCAAGAGGGTGTGGAGAGTGGCCAGGGCCTCTAACGCGGTTTCCAAGGCTTCCGCATGCAAACCTGCAACGGGTAGTTCTTTCTAAGTTTTTTTGCATATGCCGGCACAATTTTGGGTGCGATGACCCGTCCAGCGTTGACATGCACGCAACTATGTCGAGTAATTTTCGTGACCCAAGCTGGCCAAGGAGTCAGCTGTCAAGACACTGCCAGGGTTGGAGAGCACCAGAGCTTCTAACGATGTCTCCAAGGCTTCAGCACGCAGACCTGCGATGGCAGTTCTTTCTAAGTGCTGGTGTACATGCTAATCCTGGGTGCGATGACCCATCTAGTGTTGACATGCACGCAAGTATGTCGAGTAAGACTCGTGACTCAAGCTGCTGGCCGAGGAGTCAGCTGTGAAGACGTTGCTGCCAAGTTTGATGAACAAATCGAGCAGATGTCTTTAGGAGTTATCATAACCGAATATCAAGCAAAAGATCTCAAGAACCGGCTCTATAGGTTCATATAGGTTGTGTCCATCATACTCGCTTGACAAAGTACAAAAATGAAATCCGCCCAGAGTTACACACGAGCTAAGTCGCAAGCAATGACCCCATCATTTCTTTTCGGCAGGCATAGCTCGAATAGCAGAAAGCCATTGCTTGCCGGAAGCTGCAATTCTGTGCCCCGCCATCTTTCAGCTCTGCAGGCACCTTTTTGTGTGCTTAAGGAAGCATGGGAGCGGGGTTCAAAGAACACTCTTAGGTTTTTTCAGCTCTGTTGGCATCTTTAGATGCTAAGAAAAAGGTTGAGCGCCGGAATCGATTTTGAAACACGTTCTGGATCATCTTCTTCATCTTGACCGAAATGAACGTTGGAAGTGGGAAGAAGATCATTGCAGACTTTAGGCTCTAGACCTTCCAGCTTTGAAAATGTCCGGCGCTACTAGCCATTTGCAAAGACGCCCCGGCGGGAAGGGGGAAGAATCGGCCAGCTTGACTGAAACATGACGTCCTGGTCCCATGTGTGAAAAGGAAAAGCCCAGCAACACGCCAAGTGCTCTCTTCCAGCAGCGCCGAGCGAACAAGGTGCCAGCAGAACTGACATATCTAGAATGTGCTGAAAACCCACGCCGACGCTCGTTTTGTTGAAGAAAACTGTCAGATTAATCGCGAAAATGGCTACCGCAAAACAAGCTACCATACCACCCGTGCAAGTCTGCAGGCACACACCTTGTCGCACAGCGGTTCTGTCATGGCTGCTTTTCCATCGAAAGACCTACGCCTTCTACGAACTCTACTCAAAGCTTGGATGCCTTCCGTGACCAGCCGTCAGGGTCTAAGGCACGTGTTGCTATGTCGAGTCAGTCGACCCACCAAAAAGCCTTTTCAGAGGGATGGTGCCGTCCACACCATCATACGAAAGGGACGGCCGGAGCATAATCTTGCCAGCAGTCCGTGCCAGACTCACAAACAGCATTGATCAGAGTAAAGGAGCAGGACCGACGCGGTCCTAGTGGCCTTTTATACCCGCAAGTCGTCTACTAGTCAGTCAAAAAACAGTGGTCACGACACCTGTGGATCCCACCCATTCCATGGTTCTGACAACGAAATTCATTGTACATCCCAATCAGAGCCCACGCAAACTACTTTGCGGACCCCCGAACCCCAGTGCGTGTCATGAAATACGTGCGCAAGAAGGCATGTCAGGACTCGCAGTACTTATTGCAGTGGTTGAAAATTCTGAAATTGTGCTGGTTTGAAATTAAGATGAAAAGGAAAAACCGCAATGCAAAACAAACATATCTGAATATTAGGAGTAAACTAACAGGTTCAAAAGAGATTTCCGGGAACTTGAAAACAATCCATCTTGTGCCGCTAACCTAAGGAGGTACGCGAATTTTACTGTTTAAATGACTGAGATTCACCAGGTAGCTACACAAGTTCGGTTTTTTTCAACCCCCATGTCTGTTTCACATGCGCCTCGGTGCTTAAGAACTGCTTCAGGGCCTGTCGCACTACACTTTGCCGATAGATCCCCCAATGGCTGGACAACAGCGGTTTAGCATCACTGCTTGACCTGGACACCGCCTACAGCAAGTTTGGTGTAGGCTTCAGAACCGGTCAGCGGCACATTGGCATTGCTAGCTTCTTTGCTTCGGCCACAGTCGCACGGAAAATATACCTACCTCCTCATGATGCTGCTACCCGGGGAGTGATAGCTGGTGTGGTTTTGTTTTGTCTTTCCCCAGAAGCCCAGCTGTGACGTTTTCTACACGTGGTGGTCAAATACCATATCAGAGAATGAAGCGTTTTCGAAACATTGCATGCGTTGAGAGTGCCTTGTAGTCATGCCGACTTTCGCAAATGGGTTGCGAGAGGGCCAGGGGCCGCCGGACTAACGCAATATCATCGTCGGAACCTTGTGGATTGCCACAGAACTGTGTCGCTCGAATATGTTCGTGGCAAACACTAAGAGCTAACAAGGATCATGGCGTATCATGGTCACAAAGAGTGGGCCTACGGGGAAAGATGTGGCACCAAAGAAGAACATCAATGCTTCCAGCTGGAAGGGCCTTCATTCATGCTCGGCGCGGAACTGAGTTCCCTTCCGCTTTGCGAAACGAGTATGAAAATTTTGGACGTGTCCCTCACCACGAATCCTTTGTTTGTTTTCACATTTTTTTCGGGGCTTGCGTGCCAGCGTCCAATGTTTATGCGTTGATTTCAATGCAGCTTTGTCCGCTCAAGCATGACGCACGAACTACTCTTCTTACAGCTTAGTTTGTGTCTGCCACCTACATATATAGGCCCATACGCATTTACAGTTATACAAATACACATACATATACACATACTGTACATATGTAGAGATGGAGAAATTGCACCTTCATAGGACTGGGAGTTGCGCTTGACAGTACTTGACGGTTGTCGCACATGCCGCGATCACGCAGCCCGCGCGAAGACCGCAGGCGGGGTCTCCTTAGGTCTGGGAGTGTTGTGCAGAAGGCCGGGAGGATGTGGATGGGTTTGGCCAAGTGGTGCTTGCGCGTGTGCGGTGGCCAAGGACGCGACCGCAAAGACGGCCGCGCCTGCCGAGAAACTACGCGCTGCAGTCGCCCCAGGAGTGTTGTACATTCAGGTCTTGTCAGAGTCTTCGTCCCCCGAGGCTGTGCAGAGCCATTGGCCGGCCGCTGCCGCAGGCAACATGTTTTTTCTTTCAATGGTGCGGCAAGGGCGGAAGGGGATGAGGGGCACTCTTCAAGTCTTTGTCCTTCTCAAGTCACGAGTAAGCCCGCTACAAAGCCCGCTGTGTAGTTGGGTGCAGCGTGCGGCATGAGTTGTAAGGAATGTAGAGACAGGAAACCCAAACCGTTGGCACACTCTGGAACAGAAGCCTGCAGCTACCTTCCCGGATTCCCTGCCATCGCAGCCGACATAGCCGCTAGCATGCGTGAGGCCAAAGATCGCGTCAAAACGGCCTGTTGGCCTGTTGGTGACCTGCTTCGGCCCCCGCTACCTTCCCGCCTGTTTGCTTGAAGGTACATGGTCTCTGCGAGGGCGGTTGGGCGGGAGCAAAGACTTCACGGGCGCCGACCCTGGGTGTGTGAGTTTCGGTTTCGAAAGCCCCAAGCCCTAAGCCCCAAAACCCGAAATCCTTAAACCCTAAACCCGAAACCCCCTGGGCTGAGGATGTGCATGACTTCAAAGCCACCTCAGGCCCCGACCTCGGAACCTCACACGGAATGCCTGAAACCTCCGCTGCTTTAGATGCGTTTCATTTTGGGGTTTCGGGTTTCGGGTTTATTGGTTTCTGGTTTAGAGCGGATTGGGGCTTCGGGTTCAGGGGTTGGTTTCGGCTGCCAGAGTTTCAAGAGGCTCAGAGAGATCAAGCTTCCCCCAAACGCCATGAGCCCCAAGCCATCCAGAACTCTGAAAACCCTAAACCCTAATTAATCCCCAAGCCCTAAAGCCTAAAGCCCTAAACCCTACCCACAGGCCCAGCGCCATTGGTTGAGCCATGTCTCCCGAAGCCCCACGTGGCCCTCCCTGAGCCAGCGCGGCCGGAGGCCGGAACAGTTGGATGTTTTCCCAAGACGTGGCTTAGGGTTGAGGGTTGAGGGGTTGAGAGGTTGAGGGGTTGGGTTGAGGGGTTGAGGGGTTGAGGGGTTGGGGGGTTGAGGGGTTGAGGGGTTGAGGGGTTGAGGGGTTGAGGGGAGGTTTGAGGGTTTGAGGGTTTGAGGGTTTGAGAGGGTTGAGGGTTGAGGGTTGAGGGTTGAGGGTTGAGGGTTGAGGGTTGAGGGTTGAGGGTTGAGGGTTGAGGGTTGAGGGTTGTGGGTTGAGGGTTGAGGGGTTGAGGGTTGAGGGTTGAGGGTTGAGGGTTGAGGGTTGAGGGTTGAGGGTTGAGGGTTGAGGGTGAGGGGTGAGGGGTGAGGGGTGAGGGTTGAGGGGTGAGGGTTGAGGGGTGAGGGTTGAGGGTTGAGGGTTGAGGGTTGAGGGTTGAGGGTTGAGGGTTGAGGGTTGAGGGTTGAGGGTTGAGGGTTGAGGGTTGAGGGTTGAGGGTTGAGGGTTGAGGGTTGAGGGTTGAGGGTTGAGGGTTGAGGGCTTCATGCTTTGGGTTTGGGTTTCGACTTTGTTAGCGTTTAGGGCTTAGGGCTTTACGGTGCTTGGCTGGCTCATGCAGACCCTAAGGCTTACAAGCAGATCTTCCGTTCATACCACCGTACCTCAACCGCCGTATCGGCAAAACCCTTGCTGGCCTCCGGCGAAACTTCCGCTCTGCAGCTGGCATAAGGCAATCGAAAAGATGCGCCTGGCGCTGGTCTACGTTGTCCTGGCCCCCTTGGTGTCTTGAGGTCCTTCGGCCTGGTTAGTTTAGGGGCCTGGTTGGTTACTTCCAAAAATACGGGTATCCCCCCCTTTTGTACCCCAAATAGAATAGAATCCCCTTAAAGGGACCCCCAAAAAGGGCACCCCTATTTTCGGAAACCCTAAACCCTAAGCCCAAACCCCAAACCCGAAACCCTGAACCCTAAACCCTAAACCCTGAACCCAACCCTAAACCCTAAACCCTAAACCCCACCCACAAAAAGGGTACCCCTATTTTCGGAAGCCCCCATTTAAACTAGCATGAGTATTGTGGGGTAAAGCGGACCGAAATCGGGGCATTAAGGGTTTAGGGTTTAGGGTGTAGGGTTTCGGGTTTAGGGTTTCGGGTTTCGCCACCCGCACTGCGCGCACACAAGCACCCTTTGAGCACAAATGTGAAGCCAGTATGAAGCCAGCCAGCAGTCTGTTGCGGCTGCATGAGGCGTGTCGGAGCATGTGAGAGTCCGCTGTGATTTCAGTGTTAGGAGCGATGTTGGGTGGTTTGTTGCTGACTCTTGGAAGTAGCATGATCGTGCTCCGGCCGTAAGCATCTGTTAATGACGCAGACCTTCGCATGAAGGGGACCCCTCCAGGGTCCGCAACCTTTTCGGGGCGCGCTCCTACCAGCGTGTCCACTCCCGGAGACCTCGACTTAACCCTGCGGAGGGTTTCGGGTTTAGGGTTTAGGGTTCAGGGTGACACGAGAGAGAGAGATTTGCACACTCGGAGCATCTCACGTGGAGTTGCGCGAGAAATTGCGCTCAAGAAGTAAGTCCCAATGTGTTCAGCACCGAATGCATGATGCCGTCGTACTGAGCATTCCTATCAGTAGAATGAGTATTGTGGGTAGCTTACACTAACACGATATGGGGAGGGTAAAGACTTGAAAACATTGGTAGTTCTGGGGTGCACCGGGGTCGAAGGACGGGATCCGAAGCCCAACGCAAAGCTCACCCCATCAAGTCTCACTTAACCTAAACCCTAAAACCCCTGAACCCTAAAACCAATAACCCCTAAACCCTAAACCCTAAAACCCCTGAACCCCTTAACCCTTAACCCTAAAACCTACAACCCTAAAACCTTAACCCTAAACCGTTGAAACCCCGACCATTATCACACGGGCTCGGAGACTGCAACCCTGAACCATCAACCCCGGAGGCAATCGATGAACAGGGTTGGGTTTTAAGGTTCAGGTTTTAGGGGTTAAGGTTAAGGGTTAAAGGGTTTAGGGCCTTGTGCTGTTCATCACAGGGTTCGGGCTTCAGTGTAGACTCGGCTGTCAAAAAAGCCCCACCCTCCCCAAACCCGATATGTGTCCAGTTCTCTAGAAACAGGTCCCTTCTTGGGTACCCCGTCTTCTACAGCTCCTTTTATGTGGCGTACCCAAAGATGGGACCCTCATTTGGGAAGCCCCTAAACCCTACACCCAAAACCCTAAACCCTAAATCCCAAATCCCTAAAACCTAAATCCCAAATCCCTAAACCCCAAACCCTAATTTTGTCCAGTCGGTTGAAAGAACCTTGAACTCATCGGCCGTCACGCCGTGCTTGCTCTCGCGAGCGGCCTTTTGGTGGAACTGAATTTGAGCTGTCGAACCTTTTTTGGGGGGTTTAGGGTTTAGGGTTTCGGGTTTCGGGTTTCGGGTTTAGGGTTTAGGGTTTAGGGTTTAGGGTTTAGGGTTTAGGGAGTTTGGGCTGTTGAGCCTGAGGCCCCAAGCCCGTTTTCTACCAGAACTCTACAGTATGACGTGCCTAAACCCTTTGTTGCTATGGGCTTCGCACTCTACCCGATTCTAAGGAGGTGATCGACACCAACGCCTGTCCCGTGCCCCTAAGCCCTAAAAAACACCCACAGAGATGTCCCCTGAACCCTTCTGCATCACCCTAAACCCTATATAAGCAAACCCTAAACCCGCAACACCCTGAAGACGGGTTTGTGGAAGTGGCAAGCTTTCGGTTCGGCTTTCTTGGTTGCTGGCCGCCAGTTGGTTTAAGACATGCATGCGGGGAGGATTCTGCATACATGCACGTATCAAGAGACGTATGCCTTTTTGTGTGGGCTTTGAACTCCCCCTACTGGGACGAAGCACTGCCCCAGGGCACGCGGGCTCCTACAAGGAGTTGCCACGCCAAGCTGACCAGCCATGCCGGGCAACAACGCCAGGCGTTCAAAATTTGTTATCCCAAAACCGAAACCCTAAACCCTAAACCCTAAACCCCTTTCAGCACACAGAGTTTGCCAAAGCAAAATGCTCCTCATCGCTGATTTTCCCAAGGCTAACAATGAAATCCACCAACGGTACTTGGAGGTTCAGGGTACTTAGTAACTCAAGTATAACTGAACGTACAACCCAATTATAACCCCATTAGGGTACTTAAGGGGCTTGCAGGTGGGTGAGAACTACGCCTTTAATTGGGGTATAAGCACCCTAAACCTCCAAGTATGTCATGAAACAACACTCCATCAACTCCTCTCGCTCCATACACTACTTCAGGTGCTTTGTCTGCTTCTTTGGTCGAAACCCTGAACCCTACACGCTAAGCCCTAAACCATAACCGGCACGACCCCAACTTGGCCCTGCAAACATATAAGATGCCTTGGCATGCACCCAGGTATTCAGGGTTTCGCGGGCAGACAATGCTACCAGGCTGCTTGTGCCAAGATGTTGGCAAAAAGCCCAATGATCCGATCGCTGTGGTCCTGGGTTGTGGAGAAAGTCCGGGGATGGGTGACGGGGAAGGGGGGAGAGGGGGGTTGTTTTGACATCGTGGTCGCTCTTCGGAGGCACCCTCAACCCGAAAACCCTAAAACCTTGAAGTCTCATCCGAAAGGAGTCGCTAGGGGGGGGGGCTTAAAGTTTCGGGTCTGCGCCCTTTTCAAATCCCCCTTACTTCCACAGCCTATCCGTATATAGACACTCCATAAACCGCTCGCCCTAAACCATAGACCTCAAGACCCGACAGCAACTCGTTAATGGCTCAGGGTCGTCGACCGGGATGCCAAGGACAGTCCTCGGAGGCCGCGATAGGTGGTTTGGTTAAGGGTTTAGGGTTTGGGGTTTAGGGCTTAGGGTTTAGGGTTTTGAGTTTAGGGTTGAGGGTTTAGGGTTTAGGGTTTCAGGTTTCGGGTTTCGGGTTCAGGGTTTAGGGTTTAGGGTTTAGGGTTTAGGGCTTAGGGTTTAGGGTTTAGGGTTTAGGGTTCTGCGTCAAACCTTCTAAGCCAGCATTCACTCTGCCCCAGGGCTTAGGGTTCTAGGGCTTAGGGTTTAGGGTTTAGGGTTTAGGGTTTAGAGCTTAGGGTTTAGGGTTTAGGGTTTAGGTTTAGGGTTTAGGGTTAGGGTTTAGGGTTTAGGGAGCCCAGTTTGCAGGTCAAGTTTACCACTGGGTGGCTTCACGAGACGCAACCCCAAATCTTCCCCACTCCTCCCAAAGCATCAGTCAGTTTAGGGCTTGCGCTTGCGCCCCGCTACACCCCTTACCAAAAAAGTTCATGGATCATGGGTGGTCATGAGCGTGCAGCCGTACAACTTGTAAGTAGAGCAACTGCTATTTGAACCGAAACTCAGGTAGTTCAAGTTCCAACCCTACTTACACCTCCTTCAACCTCCAAATATCCCCACGAAAATCTACAACATGCTGCTGCATGACATGCGGGGGGGTGGAGGAGGCTAACGTTTGGGGCCTTAACGTTGGCCTCCCCGCATTACGGACGGGACACATCGGGGTCTGGCTCTGAGGGAAGAAAGTGTCTCAGGGTTCTAGCACTGATGGATCCTCAAACCCTAAACCCTAAACCCGAACCCTAAACCCTAAACCCTAAACCCTAAACATACTGATGGGAGATGTACTAGAGGCTGCCGAACCCTAACCCCCTTGGAGGAATACGTCTGAACTCGCTGCAGCACGGCCACGCCCCCGTGAGCGGCGAGCCTTTTACGGAGTGCTGGGCCTGGCTGGGCACAGCAAGCAGGGTTTGTACCCCCAAATATACCCTTTTTCGGACCTTCATGGAGGGACCCCTAATTGTGTCAGAAACCCCCGTGGCTGCTTGATAAGGGTTCCGTGGGAGGGATATCACTTGAAGGCCAAATCTGCTGTGGCTGAGCCCCCCGCAGCTAGGCCGTCGAAGATGTCGATGGCGGTGTGATACATGATGCCCCCGTGGGTATCAGCAAAGGCGAGCTCGATCAACATTCCTGAAGCTTCGCAGCTATGTGGAGGTCGGCGCAGGGATACGCAAGCCACAAACCCCTCACGATGACAGTGAAACCCGAAACCCGACCCTAAACCTTGAACCCTACACCTCCAACCCAACCCAACACCATTGCAGCATTGCGCACCACAACGCCAAACAGCATACACGCAAACCCTAAGCTTGATTTTGACAGCCTTCCCCGCCTTGCGCGCCAACCCCCCACGTGCATTCAGATTACACGGAAACAGCCTAATGCTCTACAGCGATGTCCAAGCTGCCTCGAATCAAGCAAAACTGTAGCTTGGGCAACTACGAAATACGGTAACCCTAAACCCTAAACCCTAAACCCCAAACCAAATGCCCCGAAGTGTCACAACAGACTAGGAGCTCCGCGTCTAAGAGTCACGTGAAGGCACTAGAGGAAGGACTTACAGGGGAACTCGAGCATGACATGAGGGCTTCGGGCTTAAAGCCCTCATCCTCCTACAGACACCATCCGACCCTAAACCCTAAACCCTAACCCCTAAAGCATCTAGTAACCCCTCAACACCCGTCTTCTAACCCGCTTGGAGGTTCATGGGTACTTAAAACCCTGCTTATGAGGCTACTTACAACCTATTTAGGGACTTATGGGTTGCAATTATATTGGGGTTATAAGTGCCCATGAACCTCCAAGCAGGACTGCAGAAACCTCAAAAAACCCATGAGGAGCATCCCTAAGCCCTTGTCAAACTGGACGAAACCCCACGCCCGTGGCCCTAAGCGAGGCGCGTTCGAGCTGAAGATCCCTAAACCCTAAACCCTAAACCCTAAACCCTCAACCCTCAACCCTAAACCCCAAACCCCAAACCCCAAACCCTAAACCCTAAACCCTAAACCCTAAACCCTAACCCTAAACCCTCAACCCGAAGACGTCGACATTCGGCCGAAGCTCTGCAGAAGGCAGGCCGTGTCAAGATTGCGCCGATCTCGGTTTCACCTGCACAACATTGACGAGGGTGTCGGGCTTGGAGGGTTATTTTAGGGTTGAGAGGGTTTTATGGGTTTGTATGGGTTTTTATAGGGTTTATAGGGTTTTCTGGGGCATACAGGGTTCATGGGGTTTAGTGGGTTTTATGGGTTTGTGGGGCTTATAGGGTTTATAGGGTTTGCAGCATTTACAGGGTTTATGGGTTTATAGGTCTTGGGGCTCTTCGGATTTGGGGTTTATAGGGCTTGGGGGTTTAGGATTCGGGGCACCTCAACTTTGTGGATCACAGGGCTCAGGGATTGGGTACTTAGGGGTTTGGGGGGCAACACTACGCTTCACGTGGAGGCCAACTCCGGAAACCCAACAGATCCCTTTGAGCAACAGAACTTCGGTGCATCCTGGGTGTGCCACACGAAGTCTCGGAGAAAAGGCCAGGGACACAACGAACTTAGCTGGTCTCGTGCTGACGCTGCCGCGAACTCTCCGGACCCTGAAGCCTTTGTCTGAAACCGGACTTCACCCTCAACCCAAAAGCCGAAAGAGCTCTCAAAAACCCTATACCCTATACCCTAAACCCTAAACCCTAAACCCTAAACCCTGAACCCTGAACCCTAAACCCTAAACCCTGAACCCTAAACTAAACCTTCAACTCACCACCCCACGGCCTGCTTGCACGAAAGGTCGCATTAGCGAGGAGTAATGGTTGCACAGCGTCAGCATCTCCAGCCTCACCATGGGGGCCCTTTTGGACCTCCTATACACCCGTTTTGTTTGCGCACCAGGGTTCAGGGTTGGGGTTTGGGGTTTAGGGGCACCCACTGTACACCCATGAACCCACTGAACATCGTTGAACATCATTGAACCCTACAAAGCCAATGGAGGGGTTCCGGACTCTTGGGCGCTTGGTGGTGTTTTGCGCCACAGGGGCTCAGGGTTTGAGGCCCAGACGCAGGCTGCGAAGGCGCAGGGCCGCAGGGTTCGTTGTGCTCAGTTGGGATTTTCCCCGCTTATAACTAACAGTCCTTAATAGGGATGATAGTACCCCCCTATTATCATCCCTATGAAGAACTGGTAGCATAAGGGGGAACATCCCAACCCTAGCGTTAAAAAAACAAAACCTTCATTCAGAGAACTGCACCATATGAAGTAGGGTATACATTTCTTGTACCCCCAAAAGGACACCCGGTATATACACTCACCAATATTAAAAAGGAACCTTATATACACTCACCAAAAACAGTAATATCAACCCTACTTCATATGCAAACACCTAAGTCCCTAAACCCGTAAGCAGGAGATCTGGGCCACCCGGGTCCGGGGGCTGGCTTTCAGGGGTCTAGGGTTTCGGGTTTCGGGTTTAGGGTTTAGGATTTAGAGTTTCGGGTTTAGGGTTTAGGGCTTCGGGTTTCGGGTAGCTTAACTCCCCTCCACGAGCGCACGGGCTCAAGTCTCCGCAGTAGGCGCCAGGTGGCTGATGGGCGCTGTCAATCTCCACAAACAAAATCTGCCTCGTTTAGGGTTTAGGGTTTCTTTTTGTACACTTCTCGATTTTAGAGTTTAGGGTTTAGGGTTTAGGGTTCAGGGCTTGGGGCCTATTCACCCATTATCCTCAAATAGCACGACCCAGAGCCCAATACTCCCACAATTTGTAACTAAGCGTTACTCATCAGGGGCATTAAGCTCAAATCTTCCAGAAAAGCAGTGAACGCTCCGTGCAAATATTCACTGCAGAAACCCCAACCCTGAAGCCACGCACCCTAGAACCGCTTCAGGGTTTGGGGTTTAGGGTTGAGGGTGTAGGGTGACCATAGACCCTAAACCCGCAACCCGACAAAATGCCGCCAGGCTTCTCAGGTTTTGCAGCCTTATTCTTCCGCACCTGCCTCGTGGTGACAGTGAGATCTGCCTCAGCTTAGGACTGAAAAGAAGCGAAGGAACTCCTGGGCTAAACCCGAAGCCCTCAACTCACTTCTGCCAGAAACCCTAAACTCCAAACCCTAAACCCTGAAGCATATACCCTAAACCCTAAGCATAAGCAAGCCCTGAACGAATTCTGCACCTCCAGCCTTAATCTCAAACGCTGAATTCCAAACCCTAAGCCCAACCAAGTGACTCTCACACTTGCAGATGGTAGGGTTTAAGGTTTGGAGCTTAAAGGCCACCAGCCTCCACAAAGAGAACAAGAATTTCCTTTTTGCAACTGGACTTGAAGACGAGCCAGACCTGACCCCTGACTCATTCGTTGTTCCTAAACCCTTTTTGAACCCAGGCTGTTCCTTTTGCTTCAGGGCTCCTGTTCCTAAGCCCTAATTAAACCCTAAACTTAAACCCTAAACCCTAATTTACGGCTAGGACTCAGCACCCTTGCAGAGGCTTCATACAGGGCTCAGCCCATGCATCACATGCAGATGGGCTCCCTAAACCCTAAACCCTAAACCCTAAACCCTAAACCCTAAACCCTAAACCCTAAACTGGGCCCTAACCTGGGGCTCCCACATTGAGCCGCTGGCAGTAGAGTGGAAGGTGCTCGTGCGGACGCGGGATGGGCACGAAAATCCGAGTCAGCTGCCTGCGTCTAAGGCTTCGGGTTACGGTTCTTTTCGCCCCCGCGCCAGTGGCCGAACCGCAGCATCTGGTGAGGGTTTAGGGTTAGGCTGTAGGCTTCAGGGTTTCGACTTGCTAACCCCAAACCCTAAACCCTAAACACTACACCCTAAACCCTAAACCCGAAACCCTAAACCCTACACATCTCGATTTGTGCGCTTAGGGTTGATGGAGTAGTTGCAGACTGGCCTCTCGACATCCAGCCGGCGTCTGGCATTCAGATCTTGGAGGGACTCCTGTCAAGGACAGCGGGCACAGGGGTTTAGGGTTTAGGGTTTAGGGTTTAGGTTTAGGGTTTAGGGTTTAGGGTTTAGGGTTTAGGGTTTAGGGTTTAGGGTTTAGGGTTTAGGGTTTAGGGTTTAGGGTTTAGGGTTTAGGGTTTAGGGTTTAGGGTGTAGGGTTCTGAAGAAGGAACTCAAGCAGGTTGTGAGAGTAGCTTCCAAGTGGTTCATTTTCACGGGCATCATGGAGGGCAAAGGATTGATCGTGCGTTGAGTTCGCCCACACTCAGACAAGCGGCGAGGCCCTAAACCCAAACCCTAAACCCCAAACCCCAAACCCTGAACCCCACAATCCAGTCTCAGTCTTCGATGTGTGCCTCCCACCCAATTTTCTCTTCACGCCTCGGGAGCCCTGCAGGCGGTACCCAGGTGAACCTTGCCAGGTGAACCGCTGCACCTATGTCGAGCTCGAAAGCGAAGAGAAAGTTTCAAGATCGAAAGACAGCGAAAGGCTCAACCTTGGCTCAGGACTCAGAGGGAATGGCTTGTCTGCAGGGCCGCCAGCTCTCTCTGGCCATCTTCCGGCTTCGCAAGCAGAAGCTGCGAGAGCTTCTTGAGGAAGAGCCCCGCGTCATGGAGGTGCTTGTCCAAGGTCTGCTTGGTCGAGGTCAGGCGCTCCTCGGCCTTTCCGAGCCGTGCCTCGTAGGACTTCATGGTGGTCATCGTCTGCTGCAAGACCTTCTGCTGCGCCTTCAGGGCCTTCCGACGCTTCACGCCATCCTGCAAGCTGGACAAGAAGAGCGACTTCAAGCGATTGGAGGTCACCGCCCCCTGCTGCTTCATGTTCTTCACGCCGTCTGCAAGCACACCAAGGAGGTTCTCCGGGTTCTCTGGCTCTCCTCCCTCTGCCTATGCTCCCCTCAGAACCTTAATAAAGAATAATATCTTAAATATGCTCTTAAGTTTCATACGAACATAAACAAAAAAATCTTCCCAAGGGGGGAGAGAGCTGCCTTGTCCGGCAGGGCCTCCTCGGGCTCCTCGTCCACCTCAAGGAAGGAGAGGCCCGAGAGGCCGGGTCTCTCGGACTCCTTCACCTCGGGCCGCGGCTCCTTTAACTGAACTTGGAACCCTCGGGAGAAGAAAAAAACCCAAAAAAAAAAACCTAATTCTAGCTGTTTCTTAGGAATTGTAGTACCCAAACACTAAGAAAATTGTTCCCAAACATCCCTGAGGCTCCGCGATGTTCAGGGAAGAGGCCTTCGGCTTCGACCCCAGGACTCGGGCCTCGGCCTCTTCCGCCTTCTCCTCCTGGTCCAAGTTAGGGTTTAGGGTTTAGGGTTTAGGGTTTAGGGTTTAGGGTTTAGGGTTTAGGGTTTAGGGTTTAGGGTTTAGGGTTTAGGGTTTAGGGTTTAGGGTTTAGGGTTTAGGGTTTAGGGTTTAGGGTTTAGGGTTTAGGGTTTAGGGTTTAGGGTTTAGGGTTTAGGGTTTAGGGCTCCTGGTCCAAGATCGCGAGCTCCGGCGCCTTGCTCTCCTCTGTGTCTTGCCTGCACCAGTGTATTGGGGTGATATTAAGAATGGCCATTGTTGTTCCTTCTTGGGTTTTAAGTACTCACAAAGATGTAACAGGATTTTTCAACAAGGAATCAGGTGCAACATCTCCACCATGTATTGCTGCACGGCCGCGAGCTGCTCCTGCATGTTCTTGACCTCCGACTTGCGCAGCGCGATGGCCTCGCGCAGCGTCTTGGACTTGGCGAGGGTGCCCTCGTTCTTCTGCTTCAGCTGCATGATGCTCTTGGCCAGATCGGCATTCTCCTTGGCCACACCTTGGTTCTTGGCTTCTTGCTCCTTCAACTTGCGGTCGAAGACCGCCTTCTGGCGCTGGAGGCGCAGGCTGTTCTCATGCTCGATCTTGAGCATCTTCGCCTCGAGCTGTTTGGCTTTGGAGCGGATGCCAAACATGGTTTGGGAGGTGGGGCTCATGATGTCATCCAAAGATGGCAGCTCCGGCATGCCGTCTTTTCCGGCATTTCGTACCGCGGGCACTGCGGGCAAAGCGACTTTGGCGGGATCGGGAGGAAATTCCCAGCCCTTGGAGGACAGGCCGCTCACAGTGCCAAGCACCAAGAAGATGCTCTTCATTGTCATTCTGGTCCTTTGCGGGCTGCCCGATGGAGGGCAAGTCCAGTCTTGAGCCAGGGCGAAATTGGAGGAATGTTGCGAGCAACTACAGCCCCATCCCGTTGTGCACAGTTTGCTTAGCTACTGAAGCTCGAAGACACCAGGTCCTTCTGCTCCTTCCGTTTCTCTTCAGCCCGCTGGCGATCTAGGGCCAGTGCCCGAGCGGCGTTTGCCTGACATCGTTGAGTTTGCTGGACGCTTAGGGCGTTTTGGGCTTCGACCGGTCTACCAAACAGTATGTGAACCTAGGGTTCATGGTTTAGTGTTTAGGGTTTAGGGTTTTTTTTTTAGGGTTTTAGGGTTTTAGGGTTTTAGGGTTTAGGGTTCATGGTTTAGTGTTCAGGGCTTGCCTTCAAGGTTAGGGCTTGGATTTGGCAGGGTGCCGGCGTCGAAAGAAGGGTCCATGCGCAATTCGTGTTGAAACGGGCAGAGACAATTGAAGCGACCAAGGCCGGACGATTTGAGCATACACTGCGCCTTAAGTCTTACTCAATGTAACCTTCTCCCTCCCTCCGGAGACTCTGCACCCTGGCTCTACCCGGGCCTTCTTGAAAAGCACGTCCGACTCGTTCGCCTTGAGCTTTCGACGATTCGATATGGCCTCCTGCGCAGTCGGTTTAGGGTTTTTGTGCCACCCGCCTTGAAACCGCACTGGAGATTATGCACACGTGTCCAAGGAGAAATTCACTCAGTAGACCGCAGCATGTTACACTACATCTTTCCGCAACAGAGCTTTAGGGCTTCGCCACTCTAACTCGCACGAACCCTAAACCCTCAACCTTTTTTTTGCAAGCCAGGGCTGCTGAGGCTCCGCCCCGAACCCGGAAAGTCTGGCTCCATCGCAAAAATGCGGCTCCGCTTCATGGATGCTTCCCAGAACCACAACTGTATTCATAACGCTCGGAGACTCAAAGCCAACACCAGCCACTCTGATTCCCACCCCTGCCATCGCTCTTAACCTACTTTGAAAGTGGCAGGGATTCTACGTACCTAGGTAGGGCCTTGGAGAAAGTTTGCCGAACTACTTGTACCCATTTACCCTCAGGTCATCCCTCAGCCCCTCCACACCCTCGCCTGCATGAGCTGGTCGCGGCACAACCCGGATGGATCAAACGGGCGCCCTGTCATTCATCAAGAGCTTCATCAAGTTTTGAGTCTCTGGGCTTTCGTGACGGGGGATGCTTTATCAGCAAATAAAACCAAGGGGCGGCGCGACGAAGCAACCAATCGTCAAAATCGCGTTTCATTCAAAGGCCCACAAGTCTGTAAAACCTATGGCCTTATGGCCTACGAGAGCTCCACTTTTCTTACTGTTGGCCAGCAGGGGTTTGACCTCTTTCTGGAGCTCGAAATAGAACCCTAAACCTCAAACCCTAAACCCTAAACCCTAAACCCCAAACCATCCCCAAACCCTAAACCTTAAACCCTAAACCCTAAACCCTAAACCCTCGGCCGCCTCCGGCGATCGACTTCTGCAACCACGGGGGCTTGCTCTTTGAGCGCGGAGGCTTCTGCCTTGGGAGGAGGGCTCTGTGTGCGGGATTCCGTTCTGCTAAACCCTAAACCCTAAACCCTAAACCCTACATCCTGAAACCCTACGCCCTAAGTCCCAAACGCGTTGCCGCAAGAAGACCTGTAGGCCCTCCTGCTCACAGACCCATTTCGCAGCAACAAGATCGCCCCAGGATATGTGGAGTGTGATGCCACCCCGTACTGATGCGTAGAGCACCTCGCAATATGGTGGGCCCACTGGGGTGCACATGGATGTTGAGGGTGGCACGCACCGGCCAGTCAGACCAAATGGAGGGATTCGGAAGGAAATTAAAACCGTAAACCCTGAACCCCTGAGCCCTGCAAGTCCTCAGCTATCGGAACCTTGCACTCTAAGCATCACAAGCCCCAAGCACTGACTCATTTAGAGGGTTCGGGAGGGCTTCAGGGTTTAGGGTTTAGGGTTTAGGGTTTAGGGTTTAGGGTTTAGGGTTTAGGGTTTATTGTTTAGGGTTTAGGGTTTAAACGGGCCGGCTTTGAAGATGATGACACCCTTCTAGGGCCAGGGGGGCCTTAGGGCTGGCCCTGTTTGCAGCCAGGCCTCATCGGGCTCGCCCTCCATCCCTAAACCCTAAACCCTAAACCCTAAACCCTAAACCCTAAACCCTAAACCCTCAACCATCCATGCACCTCCAGGCCTTCCACCCACGCAACAAGGTCTGAATGATGCAGGCATGAGGCGACTTCTGCCACATGCTCCTCGGCTCTTGAACTTCGCATGCCCAAGACCACTAGAAGCTTAGGGTTTAGGGTTTAGGGTTTAGGGTTTAGGGTTTAGGGTTTAGGGTTTAGGGTTTAGGGTTTAGGGTTTAGGGTTTAGGGTTTAGGGTTTAGCCCTGAAACCATATCAACATTAAGGGCACTCTTTTTTGGGTTGGTTACTTTAAAAAGGAACCTTGAACCCCCAGGAAAGGGAAAAGGGTACCAGCGGGCTCCAAGGCAGACACGCACTTGGGATGTTCCCCCGTTTGGGGTTAATTTTGGCACCCACACAGCTGGTTTGGGGTTTAGGGTCTTGGGTTTCGGGTTCAGGTTCTCAGGGTTTAGGGTTTCGGGCAGCTATGTATGGCCTAAGAGCCGATGAACCTTCCCCCCTAGGGCTAAGGGACTTTGAGTTTTGGAGGTGCGACTCTAAACGACTCTAAACTCACCTAAGACCTTCCTTCGATCAACCTCGAAAGAAACAGAGAAAGAGAGAGAGAGAGAGAGAGAGAGCGAGAGAGTGATAGAGTAAGAGAGAGTGAGAGAGAGTGAGAGAGAGTGAGAGAGAGTGAGAGAGAGTGAGAGAGAGTGAGAGAGTGAGAGAGTGAGAGATGGCCCTGAGGAAGGGCCGATCATCCGAAGCCCTAAACCCTAAACCCTAAACCCTAAACCCTAAACCCTAAGCCCTAAGCCCTAAGCCCCAAACCCTAAACCCTAAACCCTAAACCCTAACGCCAGGGCGCCGAACCGACTCGGAGCCGAGGCTGCCTTTGGAGCTGCCCAGCTCAGCCGACAGCGGCGTCAGAGGGTTGGCACTGGCACGGCCTCCAGGGTTTAGGGTTTAGGGTTTAGGGTTTAGGGTTTAGGGTGTAGGGTTTAGGGTTTAGGGTTTAGGGTTTAGGGTTTAGGGTTTAGGGTTTAGGGTTTAGGGTTTAGGGTTTAGGCGGAGTGCTCACCCACTATCTGCAAGATTCGCTGGGCAAGGTGACGCCAGGGCTGCAAGCAAGTGCGAGAGCCAAACTGGGAGAAGGAGACTGAGATGATTCATTAGAGGGGAAAAAATATTGATATCACCAGCGGAGAAACAGAAAGTTAAACGGGACACAGGGACGGAGGCAGCCTGCCCATGACCCTGTGAAATCTGATTCGGTCTTGCTCTACTCCTGTTAGGTGCCTGGGCAATAAGAAGCACCCCTTGACGTCGAAGGCGAACACACAGGCTGCAAGGCTTGCTGAAAGAACTGGTGGCAAAAAGGAATGCCCAGCAAAGATCCAGAGCAACCCTCTAACTGGAGCATGCTTCTCTGTGGGGCATGTTGAAACAGCCACAGTGGTAATCAGTAGCAGCAAACGGCACGGTGTGCCAGCCCGCCTGTTTCAACAAGCGTGCTCGCATGGCTTGCCACATCCTGAGTCGGAGGCAACTCGGAACATGCACTAACGCGCGTAAAAAAAAAAAAAACGCTCTACCCAAAGAGGAGCCACCTGTCGTGAGATGGAGTTCATACACACAGCCACAGGCATCCCTCCTTTTCATATGCTGCGCCACAGCCCCTCTCTGCTCGTCTTCGGACCTCTTAGGACTTCCAGGCGCCCTATATGCCTGTCGCTCCCGTCTCCTCACTTGGTCCTCGGCTGCGCGCTGATGTACAAAACGTTGTTTCCGCGGATGAAGGTGTCGCCGTACTTGTGCTTGAGCTGGCCATCCACATACTCCTCGGTCTGCTCCATTGCGAGATTCATGTAGCCTCAGTCTGCCGATTCCTTCCTACATGGCCAGCTCTCGAAACTGCGGCGTACTGCTCAAAAACGAAACTCGATTTATAGGGAACCTCGCACATCCTAACGCTTTTGTCTGACCATTCATTGCATCAGAGAAGTATTTAATAAACATATGACCACATTGTTCCAGTATTACACTATTACATTCTTACATTATACATTATTACCTTACCACATCATTATTACGTTATTACATTATTACATTATTACATGATTACATGATTACATGATTACATTGTTACATTATTACATTATGACGTTATTACATTATTACGTTATTACATTATTACATTATTACATGATTACATGATTACATTATTACATTATTACATTATTACATTATTACAGTATTACAGTATTACATTATTACATTATTACATTATTACATTATTACATTATTACATTATTACATTATTACATTATTACATTATTACATTATTACACTATTACACTGTTACATTCTTACCTTCTTGCCTTCTTACCTTCTTACATTCTTACATTCTTACATTCTTACATTCTTACATTCTTACACGATTGCCCCATTATTACCTCGTTACGTTCCTCCTTACTACGTCCTTAGGACCTTGTGACTCTAGGGGATGGGATGAGGGGGACCCTTTGGGATATAGACCCTCTGAGTAAGGTCCCTGTTTAAGAGAGCCAGAAGAGGGCTAAGAAGGGGTTCCCTCTTAAGGGTCCCCCTTGTCCTACCTAGGAGTGACGCCGCGCAGCCGTCAAGGCAGGCCAGGATTCCGCGGTAGTCTGCGCCGTTGTTCAGCTTCACGATGACGGGGCGGCCCAGCACCTGCTTTCTGTTTTGGGGGGCAAGAAGGGTTTAGGGTTTAGGGTTTGGGGCTTAGGGCTTAGGGTTTAGGGTTTAGGGCTTAGGGTTTAGGGTTTAGGGTTTAGTGTTATTGGGAAAATTTCGGTTTAGGAGTGCTTGAGGCTGCTAATGGCCTCTCTTTCTTCTCAGCGGCTTAGGTCCCTCACTGTCACCCCAGGCCTGTTTGATGAAGTCTCCCGGGGACTTCTTGGACATAGCGTGGAGGCTTCTGTGCGGCCAGGTAATCGAACGCTATCCCCTTGCTCTCTTGAGCCCCAAACTGCAACGGAATCTGCTTTCATGACGGGTTAGCGGATCCCCTGGTTGAAACGGATCTCAGGATCCTAAACACGGCCATCACAAGCCCCGAAACCGTCTTTCACCTTGTTGCCACTTCTGCTCACTTGGCCTTTGGCAGCCCATACTCGTGGGTTAGGACTCACATGGTTGCCTGTCAGGACTCTGCTTTTGGGAATTCGGTTTGAGATGCAAAGGCTTCCTTGAAGGTTCAGGGGCCGTAAATAGTGGCAGCTATAAGTGGGCTAATGATGTTCGGGGTTATCGGTTATCACAACTTATGACTACAGCCACCCGACTTATGACTCCACTCCACTTCAAGCTACCCATGAACCTCCAAGTGAGCCTCTGAAGGGTAAGCCATTTCTTCCTCAAAACCGAATGCGCCCTAACCCTAAACCTTAAACCCTAAACCCCCACCCCCACCCCCCCCCTGCAGGAGGTTAGAGCTGATGGCTGATGCGAGAAGCGCGAACCCTCAAATTTCGGACCAAGCATCTGCTCGTGGTGAGATCTTGCCCTGCACGTGCGCCTCACTTCTCCAGGAAATCTAGTCTTCACCAAGCAGAATATGGGTTTAGGGCTCAGACCGTTTCGGGTCTAGGGATTAGGGTCTAGGTCTAGGGTATGGATGATGACAACCGTAACACGTAGTGATAAAGGGCTTTGCTTGCACCAGAGGTTTTGGCGCATCGCGGCTTCGCCTTCGACCCTCACAGCCAACACAAAAGCAGCTTGGGATGTGCAATCTCAAGCAGGCCGGGATTGAACGCCCCAATCCACTCCCCCCCGCCTCCTAACATCAACCCTAAACCCTAAACCCTATACACCAACCAAAGCAGGGCTCCGCAGAAGGACCCTCAGAAGTCGCGCAAGTCAGAGGCGTCGATTCTTCACAATGTAAAAACCCTGAATCCGCACCCCGCACCTTCGGCGTGTCCAGGGTAGCAAGACCTGACGGTAGGCAAAACAAACACAAAGTTGCGGGGTGCAGAGAAGGTTTAGGTAGCATGTCTTGCGGACTGTAGTTCCAGAAGTCAGCATTTGCCCATGCCCTCTGAGAAGGCGACTTTGACCACGGTAGCTCTCAATCAAACTTCCAATGCCAATGCTCCTCTGCAGGCTGTTTTTGCTCAGCCGAAGCGCTGCAATAGTAACAGCCTAGGAACGCGACTGGTTTAGGGTTTTTAGGGTTTAGGGTTTCGGGTTTCAGGTTTTGGGTTTAGGGTTTAGGGTTTAGGGTTTGGGGTTTGGGGTTTAGGGTTTAGGGTTTAAGGTTCAAAGCAAAAGTACAGACTAGCCAGCACGGTCCTCTGTCGTTCCCTTGCAAATTTTGCCAGGCTCGCTGGTGACTTTGCAGGCGTTGGCAACTCCACCACCTTAATGCCGAAACGTCTGCCCAGCAAGACACACATGTCAAAGGAGTCCGTGGTACGCTACAGATGTAACATGCGGGTGCACAAGCAAAAGCTATGAACCCCAAGCCCTCCTTTCATAAACTGCCACACCCTTTTCCACACCCTCACACACACACAAAACAAACAAAAACGCAAGTGCGCAAGCGCGCAAGCGCGCAAGAGCGCGACCGACCGACCGACCGGCCGACCGGCCGACCGGCCGATCAACCAACCAACCGACCCACGCAACACCCCTGCTGTCCCAAACTTACCCCTGAACGCAAGAGAGCACGAGCAGGTAACCAAACCCAGCTGGGGCCGACATAACCCAGGGACTGTCGATCCATCTTTCGGTGTGGTCGCCCGGTCCTGCCAGAAAATGCGTTGGGTTTAGGGTTCAGGGTCTAGGCTACAGAGGTTTAGGGTTCGAGGTTTCTGTGGGGTCGCTCTAGAATTCCACTAACGAAGTATCTAGGAATTCTATTTCTATGCGCGTTGGCCATCAGGAAGCTTTGCAACACCAGGGCTTAGGCAATGACATGCAGGCCAACTCATTACACCAGCGAAGACCCCAAACAGAATGCATCGAATCATACCGGTTCAAGATGGAATGCGTTGGAACCCAATCTGGCTTCGCCAGCAGATGCTGCGAAAAATGTTTAAGCATTCGGCAGAACGAAGGGCCTCCTGCACAGGATCTTGCTGCCGCACAAACCACGCACGGGAAAAACACATACTTTTCCCGCAATTGTTACAACATTGCCGCGTTGCAAGACAGGATACCTGGCCGTGCTGCAGACGTTTGTGGAAAAAGCACAAATCAGCTTCGTATTCGGCTCGGGAAACAAGTGGGAACTTTGCCGCCAATATTTGGCAAAAAACAACAGGAAGGGACTTGTCGGCTTACAAAGCACACAAAAAAAGACCTCCTTCCACGGAACCGTTGACGATTGTTTCCGCAGACCGAACGACGGGCCTACTGCACAGGATCTTGCTGCGGAACTTTGCCGCGACTATTTGGCCAAAAAAAGCAGGAAGGGATTTGGCTGCTTACAAGGCAAAAAACAAGCTCTCTGTGTACATGGAACTGTTGACGATTTTTTTCGCAAAACGAACGAAGGGCCTCCTCCTGCACAGGATCTTGCTGCTGCACAAACCACGCACGGAAACAATGTACAACTTTCCCGCAACTGCTACAACATTGCCGCATTGCGGCCTTTGCTTCAGACTCTTGTGGAAAAACGCAAATGAGCTTAGTATTCGGTTCGGCTGGCTGTCGCACGGGAAAAAGTGGGAACTTTGCCGCGAATATTTGGCAAAAGAAGCAGGAAGGGATTTGTTGGCTTATAAGGCAAAGAACAAGCTCTCTGTACACGGAAGCATTGACGATTGTTCCGCAGACCGAGTGAAGAACCTCCTGCACAAGGGCCTCCTGCAGAGGATCTTGCTGCCGCACACACGACGCGCGAAAGAAAGCACGTGTCTCCCGCAACTGTTACAACATTGCCGTGTTGCGAGACGAGATACCTGGCTGCATACGTCTGTGGAAAAAGCACAAATGAGCATTTATATACAAAGCAAACAAAAACCCTTCTTTACACGGAACCCTTGGCGATTGTTCGCGCAGACGAAACGAAGGGCCTGCTGCACAGGATCTTGCTGCCGCAACGGAACCGTTGGCGATTTTATCCGCAGACCGAACGAAGAGCCTCCTGCACAGGATCTTGCTGCCACCACGCGCGGAAAAAATCACATTTCTCCCGCAACAGTCGCAACTGTTACAACATTGCCGCAGTGCGAGACAGGATACTTGGTTGCATATGTTTGTGGAAAAAGTACAATGAGCTTTTACAGACCAAACAAAAAGTCTTCTTTACACGGAACCGCTGGCGATTTTGTTCCCGCACACGAAACGAAGGGCCTGCTGCACAGAATCTTGTTGCCGCAACGGAACTTTTGGCGATTTTATCCGCAGACCTGACGCAGGGCCTCTTGCACAGGATTTTGTTGCCGCACACACCACGCGCGGGAAAAATGCACATTTCTCCCGCAACTGTTACAACACTGCCGCATTCCAGGACAGGATATATACCTAGCTGCATACGTTTGTGGAAAAAGCACAAATGAGCTTCTACAAAGGAAACAAAAAGACTTCTTTAAACGGAACCGATGACGAGTTTTTCCGCAGACCGAACGCAGGGCCTCTTGCACAGGTTCTTGCTGCCGCAGACGCGCGGGAAAAATGCTGATTTCTCCCGCAACTGTTACAACACTGCCGCATTGCGAGACAGGATACCTAGCTGCATACGATTGTGGAAAAAGCACAAATGAGCGTTTACAAAAGAAACAAAAAGCCTTCTTTACACGGAACCGTTGACGATTCTTTCCGCAGACCGAACGCAGGGCCTCTTGCACAGGATCTTGCTGCCGCACACACCACGCGCGGGAAAAATGCACATTTCTCCTGCAACTGTTACAACACTGCCGCGTTGCGAGACAGGATACCTAGCTGCTGATCCGACCTAGCTGCATACGTTTCGAAAAAAAATAATCTTTTACAAAGGAAACAAAAGGCCTTCTTTACACGGAACCGTTGACGAGTTTTTCCGCAGACCGAACGCAAGGCCTCTTGCACAGGATCCTGCTGCCGCACACACCACGCCCGGGAAAAATGCTCATTTCTCCCGCAACTGTTACAACACTGCCGCGTTGCGAGACAGGATACCTAGCTGCATACGTTTGTGGAAAAAGCACAAATAAGCTTTTTCAAAGCAAACAAAAGGCCTTCTTTACACGGAACCGTTGACGATTTTTTCCGCAGACCGCACGCAGGGCCTCTTGCACAGGATCTTGCTGCCGCACACACCACGCGCGGGAAAAATGCTCATTTCTTTACACGGAACCGTTGACGATTTTTTCCGCAGACCGCACGCAGGGCCTCTTGCACAGGATCTTGCTGCCGCACACACCACGCGCGGGAAAAATGCTCATTTCTCCCGCAACTGTTACGTTGACGATTTTTTCTGACCGAACGCAGGGCCTCTTGCACAGGATCTTGCTGCCGCACACACCACGCGCGGGAAAAATGCACATTTCTCCCGCAACTGTTACAACACTGCCGCATTGCGAGAAAGGATACCTAGCTGCGTACGTCTGTGGAAACGCACAGATGAGCTTTCACAAAGGAAAACAAAAAGCCTACTTCTTTACACACCACACGCGGAAAAAAACTTTTCCCGCAACTGTTACAACACCTGAAGCCTGATTGAAGCTCTTTGGCTTCGCGCTTGGCCTGAAGCCTGAAGGCTGATTTTCTGTTATCTTCGCGCTTTTCTTCGCGCTTTGCTTAGAGCCTGAAGGGGTTAGTCCAGTTCTGCTGGCTTCAAAGCTCTCAAATCTCTTGGGTACAAAAACACAAAGTTTTGGCACACTATCTACCTTCAGTTGCAGGATTGTCAGGATTGTTGCCACACTGCTGCACTGCAGCAATATGAGTTTTTTCTGAGTAAACAATCCAGAATT